AATGAATCTTGACACTTGATTTTGACCAAAAAGTCAAAGTTTGACTTTTCAGTATACAGTCAAAAATTGATCAATTGACTGGAAAATTCATCTGTCAATCTTGTGCATTTGGGATCTTTTGAACTTGTTGAACATGTCAAGACAATCCCATTGGGTCCTTGAGTCCATATATGAGCTTGGTTTACCATTGGTTAGGTCAAACAGTCAAAAATTGCCTTTGTGCAGTCAAAACCCTAAAAATGACCATTTTGCCCTTTTGGTGATTTGATCAAATTTCTTGTGGAATTGTGATCCAAACTTGACCAAATGGTTTGTATGAGTTCAATATGTTGATGTGGGTCAAAAAAAATCATGAGGTTTGACTGTCAATTGGCCACAATTGACTTTTTCCCCAATACAGCTGATTTCTAGGTCAACTGTCCAGTTGACTGGGCAAAGATTGGAATCAAGGCTTGAAATTTGGTATGGGTAAACTTGAGAGTCCAATATGAAGCATGAAAGTCATTTTGGGCACCTTAGGTCAAAACATCTTTGTGCAAACACAAACCCTAATTTGGGTCAACAGTGCCAAGAGGAGTCCTGAGCAGAGGAAACCCTAGCTGGATCTTGAACTCCAAGGGTCTTGTGGTGAGAAAAAGTTAAGGAAATGGGAGGGCAAATTTTGGGGTACAACAGTTGGCCAGAAGAAAGAGAGGATGGACGTGGATTGTAACTCTCAAGCTGAAGTTTGTCAAATAATTGCAAGGCTTCAGAGGCAGAAAACCAGTAGAAGGTATCAGGAGGTTACCTCTGAATTTGAATTAGGGGATAATGAAGAGCAGTTGCGGCTTCTGAGAGAAATTAAAAGTGAACTAAAATTAATACAGCCAGAGATGAGAAGCATGAAAGCCAAAAATGCCACCCCTGTGGATCATGCTGTCTCTCTCAGTCTTCTCGAAGAGGTAAAGTATATAATCCCTCCGTCCCACAATAATTAATCTATTTTAAAATTTGACTCACAATCGCAAACACTCTAGTCAAATGCATTGCATTTATTTAAATAAATCTTGAATTATTGATGTTCTTTTTACCCTTTGAAATATAAAGAACTATTGATTAACCAATTATATGAACATGCAATGGTGCACTTTAGGATTTGATCAAGTAACTACGTAATGAAGGCGATCAATCAACTCACTGCATCATATGCTTTCCCTACCCACAGATTTATGTCGGGTATAGATAAATATTGATAGATAGTGAATTATGAGTTAAATTAAGTTAAAATATTAATTTAGTAAGTCATTTATATTATTAGTTATTAGTGTTGTTATTGGACTCTTAGTAGTATTTGGACTTTTAGGGTTATTATTCATTATGAGTACTATATATGTAGTGTCTATGATAAATTAAAGTATATCAAAGAAATCAGTGAAAACCTTTATTTTTATTAGTTTATCTTCTTCATAGCTTAGAATTTATAGTTTTTCTTAAGTTTGTTAGGGTTCTTATTTGAATTTTTTTTTGGAATAACCAATTATTAAAAACAATTTCGCAAATAACCATGTTTCGGAAAAAAAATTACGCAAATAACCATGTTTTAGATGACTCCCCAAAAGAGGAGCCATCTCACTTGGCACCTCACGAAGCCGTTAAATAATTTATTATAAAATATTATTTTAAATATTTTAATAATTTGTTATAATTTCTTATAGGTATAAAAATGTAAGGTATAAAAGTTTTGCATGATTGCATCATGTAAAGACCTTAGCATGGTTTCAATATGTGATTGTTTATGAAGTTAATGAAAGTTTTGTCCTATACAATTTCATGAAAGTTGCGATTGAGAAGAGGATGATTGTACTTCCATATTGAATATATGTAGTTATTTTTGTCTTGAGTACCATGTGTTGAATATATATAATCTTTCATTTATATATTTTATTTTTAAATTAAATTTAAATTTTTAATCTAATAAAAAAGATCCTATTATTAATACATTACATATATACACATATATAATATTTTTTTCTTTTGACAAAATTGTAGAATTTTTTTAACAAAATTCGATTAACATTAAAGACTTAATATTTTTTGATCAAATTTAAAAGTTCTTTTTTTCTCATTTTATTTTTGAATTTAAATTGTTCATCGTTACGGATAGAAGTGAACGTATTGATGAGATACCAGTCGTAGACTGTTCATTTTAATGTTCATCTTTTGAATATTTTTTTATGCTGTTTTATATAATTGAAGTTAAAGAATCGACTGTACGATTCATTATAAATACAGATCAATGACTAAAAGTTTGTACAAATTATTAGTCTATATTTATAACTATATAAATGTTAACCAATTTAAGAATAAATTAGAACTTTACAAATCATAGTTTAGTAAACGTGTGATGTGAAATCAAATAGGACTCGTGCGATAATACTTACTAGTTTTGATAGCTAAAAATTAATATTAGATAAAGGAGACAAGACATTTAAGAGCATTTGGTTGCATGTTTACAATAGACTAATTTGCTACAAACAAATCAATCAACTATCATCTATTAAAATTAACTACCACCAAACTACCTAAATTTGTCATTTCAATTACATTAATTTACACTAACAAAAGATTAAACAAGTAAATAATCAATGTCTCAATTTTTCCTCCAATATAATCCACCACAGAGTGATACACAACCTCACTCCAATCATTCATTTTTTAACTTCAACTTTCTCATCTTCATTCTCTTCTTTTAATTTAAATTTCAAATCTCTTTTACATTTCTTTTCTCCACACTTGCTCACTTTCATTTTAATTAGATATATATGTAAATTAAGTATGAAATTGGATAATACTCGATAGTTATACACACAATTAAATTTCCATCTCAAAAGTCACTATTAGAAAAATATCTATTTTATTTTAATTAATAATTTTTATTATTTGAGATAAAAAATATTTATTTTCAAATGTCAAATTTTTTTTTACAGATCACTATAAATAAAATACTCATTTTATTTTAATTAAAAATTGTATTTATTTGAGACACAAAATTCTTATTTTCAAATATCAAAATTTCTATTTTTCTTATAGGTTTCTATCATCAAATATCAAAATTCTTATTTTTAAATATCAAAAATAAATTTATATTATTATTATTATTATTATTCATTTTATAATTAAATAATTAAATAATATATATTATAAATATATAAACTTTAAAGTATTTGGAAAAACCAAAATTATCCTTTTGACTTCAAGTTTTAATTTATCTTATTACAGGATTAATTATGTCTTATTACAAGCTTACTTCTCTTATATTGAATTGACATTTATTATTGCTTATGTGTTACCTCAACATTTTTTCATATCGATTTTTGTTTTATTTTAAAAAACCACTTTTCGTTTTCCAATTGGAAATTTTCTCTATCCTAAATACATTCAATAGATTATACGTCATTATACCATTAAACAATTAAATACACTTTTTGGAACAATACAAAATAGAAGATATTCCAAACAAATTTCAAAACAATCAATCCATTCTTTCAGATTTCAAAACAATCAAATGCAACCATAAATATACACTCAGTTTCCATTCCTAACCCAAAATCCATCATCTTCTTCTCATAACAACTCAAAAGTCACATTGACAGATGCAAAGTCATTTGATACCTTCATTTTCTCTTTCCATCTCAAACCTCCACTCATATATTCACACTCTCACTACCGACTACAATCTCAACAACAATCTCTCTCTTTTGCAAAATCAATATTTCTTTGACACCTCTGACACAAACCACCACCGTCCGAGCCGCCGCTATCGAAAATAACACCCATCCCCCTGTCGCCAAAACTGTACCAAATGATAAATAATTCTGGATTTATTGAATATCAGTGTTGTGGTGATGGATCTATCATCACAGGTAAGACTTGGGGTTTGTATTTTTTATTATGTTCCAAATTTGTTTAGGGTATGTATCCCCAGTGATTCTGATTTTGCAGTCAATGATCCTGATTTTGATATCGAGAGTTAACCAAGTTGATTTCTAGAATCCGGTGAGTTCGGTTTGCCTCTCTTCAACTTCTTCTTAGCTTTCTCTATGTAGGCTTAGAATTAATTGATAGTTATGGCTAAGTTATATGTTTCTTGTGTAGAAAAAATAGGTTGAATCTTAGGTTTTCTGAGCTTTGGTGAGGAGAGGTTAAGAGATTTTCGCAGAGCTTTTGGCGTGCTTTTGTTGCCCCCATAATAAGTGAGAGGAATGGAGATTAAATACGGCTGATTAATGTCAGTTTCCTTGAGTGTTGGAATGAGGAACTAAAATTTTAGGATAGGTTTGGACTGAGGTTTTGATGAGTATAGGTTTGGATTTCTGTTAGAAGCGGGTTTGGAGAGTGGTAAGGGCAAGAGGTTTGAAATTGGTTAGAGAGTGGTGAGGAATGTCCCTGATTTTGTGGGATCATTGTGTGCAAACCGTGAATTTTTTTGTGTATTTGTGTTTTCTGTTTTTCTGCTCATCTGTACCGTGGGAAAAATGCACTTGACTGATCATTCTCTTGCTAATTATACCCTTACTTTGTCTTATTCTTACTACTGTCAAACAATAATAGTGAGTCGAAAAATACATTTAAAGGGAATGCCACTCTCATCTGATCACAATTTTGTAATGTCAAATTTTCAATTCTATAAATAAAGAAACCATCACTGCAAATTATCATATCTAAGAAATTCTCTATCTCTTATTATTGTGCAAATATTAACATACAGGAAGACTGGTGGACGATTTAAGAAAAGAGAAAACCTGTTTGTTGAGGAAGTGTTTCAACGTATGGTATTGGATCATCTTCTTAAGATTGCTGGTTTAACAAGTGATGATTTGTTGATTATGTCTGATGTTGATGATATACCTCATTCATATTCTGCAGTTCATGTCGGATGATGCAAAGCTGTAATATGGTTTTCTCCAGAAATGTAAAGTTGACAATTTTCTCCATTCTATAAAATTCAAAACAATCACCTGTCAATTATTTAATAAATTAAACATGTTTCTTGGTATGAATTTAATGATTCTTACATTTAAGTTAGCTTGCAACATCTTTTTAATCATGTTCATGTTTGCACCTTCTGACTTCGAGTTCAAGATTTTCCAAACATAAATATTTATAGTCAGATTTAAAAGGTAGATAGCATAAAGCTTTGGTGTATTGTTACTCCTTAAGTAATTGGAGTTAATCTCCATGTCAATGCATTTTGAAGACAAACTAAGATTATTTGGTTTTGTATGCAAACTGAGTAGCAAGAAACATTTTTTTCATGGTGGAAACCAATTGTACGCAGCAGTTTGTATTTGAAAAATATCTATTTTCACATCTCATACCTTTTGATAATTGAATTCATTAAATATTTTTGAGTCTCTTTAAGAAGGAACGCTAATTCTATGTTAAACTATCTTGCTTAATTGTGCTAATTCCATTTTATATGTGATGTTTTATATGCTTTCAAATAGTTTGTCAAAGAGTTGTAAAGTTTAGGATAAATATATATTTATTAATGTTTATGCTCTTAGATTTGTGGTTAATAAGCTAATATCATTTACCTTATCTCTACATGCAGTTGCACTCATTTATTAAGATAATAGACTTTCCAATTTCGTCATGTCAGGCTCCTTCACTAACCAAGTGATTGCTCAGATTGAACTGTGGAAGGAAAAGACTTTTTGAAAGTATGAAAAGAAGGTGCGGTATGAAAAGACTTCCCACTTTATTTGAAGGCAACATATAACTTATAAGCATGTCTTTTTTACCGTATTTGTATGTCATAAGGAACCATCAACTTTGGAAGATCTTGAGAATTTCCTGCAGATTTTATTACCTGGTGGCTTATACTACCTGCTTGGGGAAAATTCTGAAAATTCAGGTGTTAGCTGAACGTGAGCATAAAATTCAAACTGAGGTGAAAGAAATTTAGAAGGTATTTTATTTTGAACTCTGCAACAAGCAATACAAATTAGCAATGGAATTTGAAGCACACTTGAGCTCTTATGATCACAATCACAAGGAAGGTAGACAATTTATCTAACCCTGAATTTGACTCTTTTGTCATTGACTTAGTTTTTTCTTACCCTATCTATTTTTTAAATATTTATGTTAAATATGCAATGTTTCAACATCAAGTTGTTGATATGTTTGGATGTGGGCTGTCGATTTGTGTTGTTTCATATTTTTGGTAAGCTATGCATTTCTTTGAAAATTGATGATTGTATTTTTTGAGTTTACATGTTATGTTTGTTCATTTAAACTTTAGTCAATGGTATGTTCTAACTTATCCAAAAAAATTAGGTTACATAGACAAACAATGTAAACCGTGAATAATTTCAGGAATTATTTTCTGACTGGAAGGAATAAAATACATGATTGGGAAAGGAACATAACTAGTCAAGTTGCATGTAAATTTTTAAACTTTTATTCTAGGATCATGGCATCTTGAACCATGTAGAGGTATCAATCTAATCATGACATCTTTAATGTTGTAACTCTTTGTATTTTGGACATACTCTGCCATTTCATATTCTTGAATCTCAAATGGATTTTTGTAATTTTTCATTTTTCTCTCATAGTTGGGAACAACTTATGAATAGAGTGCGAAATGTGAAAATTTGAGTTTATGTCATTCTACTTATGTTTAAAATTCACTTTTGCAGGTTTGAAAGTGCAAGACCCGTAATTCTATCCAACTTATTTGAACATATAGCAAGACCCCTGAATTTTATTTGAACATATAGCAGTAACGTAACCGATACTTATAAATAAAAAATTTATAGAATAAAAAAATTATTTAAAAACAGTAACATTAAGGATAATTATAAATCAAAATTTTATAAAATAAAAAATAATTTAAAAACTATCATTGCAAACGTTAAGTTAAATTAAATTAAAAATATTAAATTAAAAATATGCTTTGTTATGCTCTGTTAATGAAAATAAATTATTCATGAGATTTATTATTCATGAGAATGAGTTAAATCTAAATCAAAATATAATAGTATTTAAAATTCTTCTTCAATATAGCACGAGTTTTTTTACTAGAATTTGCAATTTTAGAAATTGAAACCATTCTCATATATTTTTATAAATAAAATAAATTTATTTAATTTAATTAATTTTATTTAATCATATATTTTAGTTTTTCAATCTAAAATATTTTCACTATAATATTTAGTTTTTCATTCTAAAATATGAATAATTTAGTTTTTCATTTTTAAAACATTTAGTTTTTCAATCAAAAATATTTTTATTACAAAAAGTAAATTTATAGTTGCCTTCCTTATCTTAATGTGATATGATTATATCAGGTTTTGGTTACTACAAATTTATTTTATTTTTATAATTTCTACAATTTTAATTAAAAATTCTTACTCAAAATAAAAGATATTTTGTAATTTTTTAGATTTTTAGAAGCAAGTTAATACTAATATGGAACACAATTAAATAAAAATATAGTCATTTATTTTAAAAATTTTGAGATCAATTAATGGATCACTTTATAATTATGGTTGATGCCAAAAGTAAAATATTTAATTATAGAATTAAATATAATTTTAATCTTATAAATATTTATATTGTTTTTTGTGTTCAGATCACCTTTTGTGTTCTAAGTTATTTTAAATTGTATTATAATAACTGATAGTCAAATTTCTTATGATAAGAGGTGTTTCAATGTCTTAACTCGCAAATAGCTATAATATGTGTGTCTTATTGAGATTTACTTTAACTGAGATAATGCATTGAAGTAGAGATTTATCCATTATTCTGCTGTTAATCTATAACAATAAGTATTTTTTATTTGGAGATATAATTTGTTAAGAAGTTAATATTAGAAGCTGGTGGTGGTTATTCTAGAACAAGGATTTTTTTTATACCAATAACCTCTCATAAAATGAATCTTCTAATGTAAATTGTTACTATTAAGAAAGATACATCAATACATTATAATAGAATTTTTTAACAAAATTTGATTAACATTAAAGACTTAATATTTTTTTGGACAAATATATTAATCCAAGAGTTCTTTTTATTTCTCAATTTAAATGCGGTACACTTCTCATCCTAATGAAGATCATTCCGAACATAGATTTACAGATAAATGTGAACATATCTATGAGATATCAGCGGTAGACTGTTAATTTTAATGTCCATCTTTGAAATCTTTCTTTTGCTGCTATTTTATATAATTGAATTTATAGAATTAATTGTATCGTTTATTATAAATACGAATCAATACTTAAAAGTTGAGGTATATTATTAGCTTATATCTAAAACTATATAAATGTTATCTACCTAAAAGATAATCTTTATAATACGAGTTTTTTAGTAGTATTTAAATAAAATCTATATCATATTAAATAAGTTTATCCATACACGCGAACACACATATTTAGTAAAATGTGTTAAAACAAATAATTATAGAATAAAAAAAAGAAAGAAAGTGTCGTTTGGAGTACACAAACAACACCTCAATAAAGGAGACAACGACGAGACATTAGGGGGCATTTAGTTGTATGTTTGTATGTTTACAATAGGCTAATTTGTTACAAACTAATAAAATGTCTTAAAATATCTTGAAACAAATAATTATTATTTTTGAATAAAAAAGAAAAAAGAAGTGTCGATTGGAGTACACAAACAACACCTCACAATAAACAGACAATCGATTAATTTGCTAAAAACAAATACTCCTAAAATGTCAAAGAAAATATCTTGAAACAAATAATTAATATTTTTTGAATGAAAAAAAGAAAGAAAGAAAGAAGTGTCGATTGGAGTACAGAAACAAACAAAACCTCACAATACATCGCCCGATTTGAAAGCATTATTCACACCACCGCAATTCACCGTTCACCATCTCTGTTACATTCTTTGATTTCTGTTTGAATTCCATTAATAATGGGTGGAAAGGTTAAGATCTGGAATCCCGTGGAAATCGCAGAAGAAGCCAAAAATGATTACGCCTCGCAGATTTTTCCCTCTCTTCTTTCAATTGATCCCTCTCTCTCCCTTCATCAAATGACACCTCTCGTCATGTTTGTAACTAACTCTTTACCTTTTTTTCCTTCATTTCCTTTACATTTTAACCCGTTAGGTTTTGTAATCTCTTCTGTTTTGCAGTAATTTGTGCAAGGACATGTTCAAGGATTGGTCTAATTTACATGATTCTTGCTTTAAAGTTGACAAGATTTCCGGAGGCATTACAAATTTATGTCAGTTTTTTTCCTCATCATAGTATTTTCTTGTTGACATATATAACTGAATAATATTTGATAAAATTTTTATTATCTCTCAGTACTGAAGGTTTCGGTTGAACAACGTGATTCTGTAAATGCTATTATAACTATCAGATTGTATGGACCCAACACCGAGCATATTATTGATCGCCATCGAGAATTGCAGGTTAAACAATGTTTACTTTGGAATTAAATTAAGTGGTTTATTATTTGATATAATTGATAGTAGGATATTATAGTTATATAGTATTTTTGATTCATGGAGCTAACCCCATATAGTAACAAGAATTTCTATGTTATTGATTTATTTGAACTATATTTAAATAAAACAAGATAACATTTTTTCCTTCCTTTATTATAGTTATTATTACTCATTAGCTTATCTGAAATTTCCTCAGTATAATTGCTTGTGAACTGGTGTTTAGGCCATCAAATACATCACTGCTGCAGGATTTGGTGCCAAGTGGCTTGGAATATTTGGAAATGGCATAGTGCAATCTTTTATCAATGCACATACTCTTACACCATCAGGTACAAATGAAAACTCACTTTCAGCACAAATGACAAATCCAAATTGATAAATGTTAATAGATTTTGTTAGATTGCCAGCATTTTGCTGTTATTGATAATATTTGTAAGAAAATTAAGCACATGTACCAGAAATTATCTTCTGGGTCATTTTCATTTTAGGTCCATTTGGTGACTAGATGTCATAGTCTTGAAATAGATTCCTTATTGGATGAACTTGTATTGTATTGGGATTGCTTGGTTTGTCTCCCCCAACCTTGTTCTCCGAACAATTGACCGTGATAAGGCTCTAAGCTGAAGTTCTTACTAATTAGTAACTTACTATGCATTGCGACATTTTTTATTTAATCCAACTTTTATAAGAAGATGCAACAGAGGAGTATAAGAACATAAAGGAAATGTCAAAAGGAACAATTTATTGGAACTTGGAAGAGAGTGGGAAGGCTATAACAGCAAGTACATTGTCAATTGTCAAGGATAGGGAAGGAAGGCAATAATTGAGTAGGATGGAATTGTTTGAGTCGAGATTTTTATCTTGTTTCCTGCTTTTACTTGTAAGGAGTTTGTCTTCCATATTTTCTAATCCATTTCCAAGTTCACTCACACTCACACACCGATGTTATCAAATAGCGGCACCATGGCCGCTATGGAAGATATACATGGCAGTTTTTGGGCTCGCCGCAATGGTAAATATCGGCTGATATTGCGGGGTTTTCCGCCATAATCTTCTATAATGGCGCCGCAAAGCGGCCGGTATGGCAGGATTTTGGCTCTCCGCCATCTGCCATCGATAACACTGTCACACACACCCACACCCACGCACACAATACTGCTCTTTGAAATGGCTGAATTAAGTATCATTTGGAATAAACTTATGCTATGCTATTGGCCCTCATTCAGTTACGTACTTTTGACAACCTGCAGAAATACAACCTGATTAATGCATCATGAATGTTTTTCTTTGATGGCAGATATGCGAGACCCAAAACTGGTTCCTAAAATAGCCAAACAGTTTCGAAGATTTCATCATGTGGAGATTCCAGGTTCTAAGGAACCTCAGTTATGGAATGATATCTGGAAGTTTTTTGAGAAAGGTTCTTTCTTCTTCCCAGTAACGAATGTGATATTTGTTCACTTCTCTCTCTTTTGTTTTAGTTATTTCTGTAATTTTGTTTAAGGTGAATTGGCTTGTGTGGATCAGAGTTGTAAGATTTCAACCTTATCTCCTAGGACAACTTTTTAGCTTCCCTTCAGCGTTGTCTTACTCTTAGTACTTCCCCTGATTTCATGTTTGAGAGAAATAACTTTTTACTATACTATAATGGTTTGTTATGCTATGTGAATAATCTCTTGGATTGTTGGTCTCATTGGCTTAGAATTCATCTATTTGGTGTCCACACATTTTGCTTAGAAGGTCCAGGACATTGTCATTCTTTCTCCCTAGTCCTATCTATGCAAAAACTGATTGATCAAAATATTAAAATGGTTATCAAGAGAGTTACCTCATGCAGATTTCATTTGCCATGAGTTAATGTACGTGGTTGAAAGGTTTGTATTATTAGTATTTCAGCTGCCTCAAATTTTTTTTTTCACTTGCAGCATCTGTTCTAGAATTTGATGATAGTGAAAAGCAAAAGACTTACAAGACAGTTTCGTTCAAGGAAGTTCAAGATGAAATTAATGAGCTCCAGGTGCTTGTTCTTTTCATATGTATGTTTGATGTTATCTTTGTATTTTCTTTCTATGTAATGCATGATCAGATAACTTACCACCATAAGTCCAATGCTAACAACTAGTGTGAAAACTTTTAGATTTTAAGATTGACTCTTGTCATCTTTTGTCATGTTAAACTTAAGATCATTTTACTAAATATTCAAACTACCTAAGGACTGGGGCCAAGACAGAAAGTGCCCTGATGAATGCAATTACCAAGTGCTCCAAATTGTACAAGTAATGTAGATGAGTTGATTCTTGTTCCTACTTCCTACGAGATTGTGGTTCCAACTATCAACTATAAATTCTAGAGCGAACGCTAGAAAAAAATTCACAGCTTACAAATAGCTATGATTTGATTGGCCCAGCGTCTAATTATGAGCAATCTTTACCACTTTCAATTCAGGTTTAGAGTCCAAATATATGAAGAAGTTCACATTTGTAGTTAAGCTTCAATACTTCTCGACCGGAAGCCTTAATACTTAGGGTGAAATTGATGGATATGTCCATTAAACTCAGGAATTTACAAGATCACACAAATATTTAGTTCTATTCCTAAGAAATAAAAAATTTGTGTCTCTGTACTGTAGATCCAAGTCTATTAAGCAATTTTCTAATTATGTGAATTGCATTATGTTCACTCTAAAATTGGCTTAATCATAATCATGGTATGAAGGCATTGACAAGAATGTAATCAATCAACAGGACAACCAAAATTTTAATTAATCAGATAATCAGAAATATAGTTCAGATTGAGAGTCCTAAATCCCTAAGCTATAGATTCGAGAGAATCAAGAACTAGTTGCATTATGTTCACTCTACAATTGGCTTACAAAAGTTGTTTCTTTTGAATTCCTGCTTGTGTTCTTAATAATTTTGTTAAATAGCAGCTATAGCAGCACTATACTTCCATCGCCTAGCGGAATTTGGACAAGCTACTATTCTTCTGCAATACACTATTTATTAGTTAGAAGAAAACATTATCCAATAGCCTCTAAAGGGGTGCTATAGCACTATTGTATAGTGGAATTTTTACAATCTGTTATTTTCCGCTATCTTCAATTGGTAACAGTGGTTCTTGTGCACACATCTGCTGACTTGCCTTTTGTCTACATGCACAGTATTAGAAAGTGTAATGACTTTTCTCATTTTCAGTTGAAACTGAATTGTATTGAAATGGAAAAGTTAGTTACATGAGTTGGCACCTGATTGTACTTATAGTTCCAATCAGGTGAACTGCTATAGCAGGTAGAATACAAGATGACTGACAATTGTCAGTTTGCTAGAATACAAAACTCTTAGCTAAACTGACAATTGACAATTGGCTTGAGCAAGACTCCTGTATTCAGCTTCAGTGCCCTGACCTAGCCACTACCTGTTGCTTTTGGACCACCAAGAGATGAGATTGGAACCAATGAAGATAGCTGCACCAGAGGTACTCCTTCTTTCATCAGGATCTAAGGCCTAATCTTCATCACAAAAAATCTGAAGAGAGGGAAGAGTAGATGTAGAAAGAGGAGAGAGATGGAGAGCCAGTAGAAGTTTGTTTAACCTCAATTCTTAGGAATTATCCAAATCACCAATGCATTTGAGGGAGAAGGCAAGATTTAGTTTGGTGATGACATACTGAAGTAAAGTAGTGGAGCTGCCAGTTAAAATAATGTCATCAACATATACCAAGAGATAAATAATGTGACCTTTAGAGAAATAGGTAAACAATGAAGGATCACATCTGCTTGCTTTGAACTGAAGCTTGAGCAATGCAGTTTGAAGTCTTTCAAACCATTTCCTAGGAGCTTGTTTAAGCCCATAGAGGGCATTGTGGAGTTCGCACACAAGAGTTGGGTCAGAACTATCAAAACCATGAGGCTGCTCCATGTAGACTTCCTCATCTAACAAGCCATTGAAAAGGCATTGTTAACATCAAGTTGTTGGATGGACCACTTGTGAGAGATTGCAATGGTGAGGATAACTCTAATAGGGATAGGCTTGACCACTGAAGAAAAAGTTTCATTGAAGTCAAAGCCATGTCTTTGATGGAACCCTTTGGCTACAAGTCTAACTTTGTACTTGTTGACTGTGTCATCACGGTTTTCTTTGACCCTGAAAATCCACTTACAACCAATGGATTGCCTATGAGGAGGAAGAGGAAGAAGACTCCAAGTCTCATTTTTGATCAAGGCATCAAACTTAGCCTGTATAGCTAACTTCCATTGTTGACAAGCAAAAGCATGCTTGACAGTTCTGGGCTCAGTATGTGTAAGTAAAAGTCTAAGCTCAAGTCTGGGTTGGGAAAAGCCAGACTTGGCTCTAGTTTGCATTCTGTGATGATTGACATAAATGTTGGCAACAAGAACAACTAGAGGAGGGATAGACAAATTTGACTCAGAAGAAGAAATGGAGTCCTTAGCCCTGGAACCTGACTGAGAGGTAGGAATTTCGCTAGATGAAGAGACAAGAGAAGAGGAAGGGCTGGGTGAAACAGACCCAGACTGAACTGGAATAGAACTGGCCTCATTCCCAAAGGAGGAAGAAGCATGAGGGAGAGGGAAGGCACAACATCAGAAGAAGGAGAAGGAATTTGACTAGGCAGAGGGGGAGAGTTTAAGGGGTTAAAATCCAAAGAAGATAGAGAGATGACCTTGGGAGATTTGAGAGCCAAGGGAGATTGAGTTTTGGAGAAGTTATCATGAAAAGGGAACCTAAGTTCATTAAAGAGGACATCAACCTACCACTTGGAGAGAGGCACCTATAGCCTTTGTGAGAGGGAGAGTACCCAAGAAATAGACACTCGTAAGATCTAAAATCCAACTTGTGAGTGTTTTAAGGCATGAGAAGAGGGAAACAAGCACATCCAAAAACCTTTAAGAAGGCATAATCAGATAAAAGATTGAACAAAAGGGTGTAAGGCCAGTTGAGAAGGTGGCAGCCTTCATGGAAGATTTATGGAAGAAGATGGCAGCCTTTTAATGAGATATACAGCAGTTGAGAAGGCATAGTCTCAATATGTAAGAGGCAAGTTAGCTTGACTAAGGAGGGTAAGGCCAATATCTACTATATGCGCATGTTTTCTCTCAACCACTCCATTTTGGTGGTGAGTATGGGGACAAATAACCTTGTGCACAATACCTAGTTCCGTAAGGAACTTAGTAAAAGGTCTGAATTCTCCCCTCGACTGGATTAATTGATTTTATGGGAAGACCAAGTTGCTGTTCAACTTATTTAAAGGTAGATACAGCTTCTGCTTTGGATTTAAGTAGATAGATCCAAGTAAACCTGGAATAAGAACCTACAAAGGATAGGTAATAGTTAAAGCCTAGAGATGAGGAGCTATGGGTAAAGTCTAAAGGCTTAGTGTATGGTGTGTGAAGCAGGTCAATGAAGCCTGTGAGCCTTACCCATACAACAGTTTGAACAGGGGAAATTTTGTTCTTTATTATTATAGGGAATGTTACAACTTTGTAAAACAAGTTTGAGAGAATGAGTACTAGGATGACCTAGTCCAAGGTGCCACACACTAGGTAGCTTAGAATCAATGGAAATAGCTAGAGCACTAGGGACATTGTTATTTAAAACAGAAGAAAAATGAAAAGCTGACTTAGTAGGTGGTGACTCAGCTAAAGGAGGAAAAACATATAGGCCATCATTCCCAACATGACCTTCAAGCAGGATTTCATCAATTTCCTGTGATTTGACAAGACATTTGTCAGCAGAAAAGATAAATACATATTATTGTTCCTAGAAAACTGACCAACACTTAGAATATTTTTGGTAATGGAGGGAACAAGAAGAAAATTCTTAAGTGTGAGTTATGTGTGAGGTTGGATAGGGAAAGTAAAAGTGTGGGAGCATACTCAGCTGTAAGACCTTCAAGGATGACATCTATGTGATGTGAGCAAGGAATTGGATCTCCTGTTGGAAAATACATAAAATTGATTTCCCTATTTTCTAGGCAATTCTAGAGAATTCCATTATGTCCTTTTATTTTCCAATGTAATAATTTTCTCCTTAATTCAAGGGGAGAATTAATTGTATTCTCACTATAAATACCAGCCAAAGAGGAATAAATCACAAAAGCATTTATCTATTATCTTTCAATATCTCCAATGGAGGCTAACACATCAACAATAGTGCAGATTTTAAGAAGATAATCTTGAACAGTCAAGGTATCAAGAACAACCGCACAAAGTTTCCCTAAGTTGGCGTTCTCGAGCACATGTATGTTTCTGAATATTAGAGATAAGCTACAACTCCGGTACGATCAATCCTGCGTTTTCTGTTTGGCTTCAGAAAGATCAAATGTTGTTATTCTGGCTTCAATCCACTCTATCGAGCAAAGATCCTCTCTCGCATTCTTGGATGTTCACATTCACATCAACTCTGGGATCGGTTATTCAGCTATTTTCAGAAACAAACTCGTGCTCGTGCTCGTCAATTGAGAGTGGAATTACGTGCAGTTATTCTCGAAAGTTTATCTGTTCAAGACTATCGGATTCGCACCATTGTTGATGCCCTAGCTTCAATCGGTGATCCTGTTCCACCTTCACATCACATTGATGTGATTCTTGAAGGATTACCTTCTGACCATGCACCAGTAGTATCTGTTGTTGAAAGCAAGTTTGGAGTTATGGATCTTGATGAGGTTGAAATTCCCTGCTACTGCAGGTTAATTTATTGCTACTATAAATGCAATCAGTTGTATCTTTGAGATCAATCAATGAAAAACAGAAAATCAGTTATTACAGAATTATGAAGAATGCAATTCTAACTTTCTAACACTGAAAATAACTGAATAACCTGTCTTAAAGTTGATGCCCATGTGAGAAACCAAGTACACTAGAGAATTTCGCTGGAAATCGTGGATTGAAGCCTGGAAAGCAACATCTGGTCCTTTGCAGCCAGACAGAGTACTCAGGATTCACAGATCCAGCAGCGCGAGCATCTTCATCCACGAATTTGAGAGGAACACGAGTGCAAACGACAAACTCAGTGAGGTTATGCGCGTTGATGTACGACGCTACCTGTTGACGCCAAAGGTGGAAATTCTTTTCATCTAGCTTTTGCGCAATCTTAAGAGAGAAATTGAGGTGACGGAGATCGTCAGTCACAGACTGCGCTGCCGGCATCGGAGCTCTGGAGATATTGGCGGAAGCGGAAGGCGACACCGGTGGAGGAGTAGCCATAGCCTAGGATCGGTTCAGCAATCTGATACCATATTAGAAAGTGTAAAGACTTTTCTCATTTTCAGTTGAAACTGAAATGTATTGAAATGGAAAAGTTAGTTACATGAGTTGGCACCTGATTGTACTTAAAGTACCAATCAGGTGACCTGCCATGGCAGGTAGGATACAAGATGACTGACAGTTGTCAGTTTGTTAGAATACAAAACTCTTAGCTAAGCTAATCCTAATACATCTCTAATACACAGTATAAAAAATGGAATACTCCTTTTCTTTTAAATATGTTGCCACACGAAAGACTTCTGTGGCCACACTTGCTTCTTTCATCTTCCAATTTGCCTTGTTCTCTGTCTCAAGTGATTCCTACATCAGTCAAAATGTGAAAATTTGATTGCAAGAGGATAAAATTGATGCAATATCTCTCTTTAATCAATCATTAAAGAGTCATGTAAGAACAAAGAAATCTATCTCATTGAAAACCAATTGAATGGAAATTGGATTAAAAAAATCATACTATAAATCCTTGTCCAAGCTTAGGGATATAACATAAGAGCGTCTTCCTTTCCAGTTTTATATTTGTAATTTTTGAATAAGCTTTGGTATTTTTTTTTGTAACCGAAATAGCAGCAGTGATTGATGCATTTTATATTTTGTAAAAAAAATTCTTTTGACATATACTTGTATTTCTAAATTTGCTGCAGGTGTTGTGTGATCGTCTCAAATCTCCTGTAGTTTTTTCTCACAATGACTTGCTCTCTGGAAACATAATGGTTAATCACGAAGAAGGTATCCACATACCTCAATTATGGAATAATTATGCCTCTGTCTTGTTGCTGTATATTTTATTTTTGTACATACTTTGTGAGCTTCTTTCTATTCATAATTTTTTCTTATGATTGTCATTTTTATGTGACATTTATATGAACCTTTGGGAGTATCTAGTATGACTATGTCTTAGTCTCTACCAAAATGGTGCTGCATTGTTGTTAAAAAAAGTAATATGTATTATTTACATGTTACTACTCTCTACAATGGTTTTGAAATAGTTAGAGTACAAAAGTTACCTTAAAGGTCCCATGAGCTTGTTATAATATCTCTCATTTTCAAAGTTGACGAGTTAAACTGAAGCTGGAAAAATGGATTATACAAGATTAATGGTGATCTAAAGCTTACTGAGTTTGTTCGATAACAGGAATTTATGATGTGAATATTCTAATCAGTTTATAACAAAGTCATAAGGAGACAGACGTCTCTGAAATAGGCATTCTCCTTATGAAACATTCTCATGTCAAGAAAGAATGGTTAGATAACCGACCTATTAATAGTACATCTGGGATTTTAATCTTTGATTTGTTTTGACAAATGTCCAGATAAACTTTACTTCATTGATTATGAATATGCATCATACAACTACAGAGGCTATGACATAGGGAATCACTTTGCAGAATATGCCGGTTTTGAATGTGACTACTCCTTGTAAGTTCTTTATGCTTGCTTTTCTTGCTTTACATGATCACAATCAATTTTATTTATTCCACATTTTATTATGCAGGTACCCAAATATGAATGAACAATATCATTTCTTCAGGCATTACTTACAGCCGGACAGACCTCAAGAGGTAACAATCATAGCGAAGGGGATTAATATTTAAAATTGCATTTTATTCACTGTTTCCTTATCATCAATCGTCTGTAAAATGAGATGCACATAGTCTATCAACTATTTAGGTTTGTAATGTCTAGATTAAAAAAACAAGTTTAGTGCTGCTTATAATTTGTAAGATATATTTTTTATTTTTGGGTGGAGGAGGGGGGCACATTGGCCGACTCCTTTTCATATTTGCTACAAAATTCACTGATATGTCTGTACTTTATATCTATAAGATCTTTAATACCAATTCACATACAGGTGTCTGAGAATGATCTCAAAACCTTGTATGTTGAGGCAAATACATATGCACTGGCCTCACACCTTTTCTGGTCTTTGTGGGGGCTAATTCAGGTAATATATTTCCTTCTCTTGTGCCTGTTTTGCTTTCATATTTATATTAAAACTATATCCATGACTATATTTGTTTCTATGATACAGGCAAAGATGTCCCCAATAGATTTCGATTATCTTGGTTATTTTTTCGAACGATACAACGAGTACAAAAGGCAGAAAGAAAAAGTTGTATTGTTGGCGTTATCCCACCTTTCAGAATGTAGGAGTTAGTAGAGATTGATTCCACTTCATCAATCACTCATTGGTTGCTGTATGTCAAGTTTGTAGCACAAGACCTTGATTCATGTAGTTAAATGTTTCTTGATAAAAAAAATGTAGTTCAATGTTGTAAAATATCTTTTGTAGACCATTGCAATAAAGGGAAATTTAGGCTTTAGTTAGAGCTCTTGTAGCTCCTTATTGTCCTAATCCTGGAAGTTAGGCATTCAAATGGATCTACTATTCTTTCTCCATGTATTTTGATCTACCATTCTTTCTATAAGTATCATATTGACATACATATTCTGAAAATATGATAAATAATAGAAAGTACTGATTTTACTGAATTATCTTTATTAATGATTGATATGTTCTAACTAGAGAATAATAAATTATGAATATTAATTAGAGGATAGGTTTGGTAAAAATTAAAATTAACTTTTATTTTTGACATAATATTTCAAAACATAGTTATACATCTTTCTTACAATTATACGATAATTTCATGATTTACTTTCTTTTACAGAGGACTGATATCCATGTGGTTATTCTCACTCTGTATAGCAAGACTTTCGATTCCCAGGTAGTTGTAAATGACACATGCACAATAGCAAAATTTTAAATTCAACTCAACGAAGTTGTCTTCAAACTTATCAATCAGAAGTATGTCTTGAAATTTACTGGTGAAACCACCGTTGGTGATATAAGCAAACACCAGATCTCGAATAAAGTTATTATCTTCACTTTATTCCGTGATATTATAACCGGAAAATAGAAAATGGAGGCATTGACAGGTAACAAAGTTTCTTTTACCATTCATTATGAATAATATTCTTTAATTACTTTACATAACTATAACTACCTTATTGGATTTAAAATTTATAAACATACTCTATTTAATAATAATGATGCATTCTTTTATAGTTTTAAAATAATATGAAATTAAAATTAAAATTTAATATAAATAAAAAAAATAAATACGGGTGAAGTTTGGAAATAAAATAAAAAGTTTATTAAAAAATAAATAATAAATAAATAAAAAATAGTGATATTTATAAATAAAATGAACCAAAAAAACAAACGAAAGTTGAATATTATCCCAAATCATAACTGGACACTTTACAAGTTCCACTCTTATGATATAATCTCTTGAGTCTCTATTTAAATTCCATTCTTAACAATTGTGTGTCCATTGTTCCTTATTCTATAAACGGGATACGAATCTTGATCAACAATTATTTTAGTCCGAAACTCTTTTAGAAAATATTTAGATTATTTTCCATCTTTCATAAACGGTGCATATCGATTTCCACTTTCGCATAGATCATGAATCATGTGTGATTTAATCAAGTTATACAATTCTAAATTAGTTTCTTGATTGGAAATTTCAACTGAAATGATATGATCAATATCAGTTGGAGTTGGATATTTGTTTAATGGATGCAGAAAAATTAGAATGCGAGTATGATGTACCCCTCTCTTTTGGAATTCAATTGTATACATATATGTAAAAATATGGCAATAAATAAATGAGCAAGTTAGACAATAAAAAATGTCATATTATTATCAAATAATATTTTATGTTTTACTGTAGTCACTTTACTTACATGCAAGCACCTTCCCCACTACACATTTTTTCTTCAAATCAGGCAACAACTCATCAAACTTCATCTTAAAAACTCTAGAAATTATGTTTGGATGATCAAGTGCTTTCAAATGTATCGAACCAAGTAAACATTGACTAAATATTGAATAACTCATGTTTTTCCAGATGATCAGGTGCTTTCAAATGCATTGAACTGAATCTTGAGTAACTCATGTTTTTCCAGAATTTCAACTAAGTAATATGTTAATTCATAATGAGTAAGATCAGAGAATACCTCTTTGTAGAATATTTATTCTATTTTTGAATCCGCTTCATCTTTTGGAGGGATTTCGTCACTTGATGTCAACATGAGCCATCAACGCCATGTTAGTATGTTCTTTATCTGAGTCGCAGTCAGAGGAGTCTGAATCATCCCATGTTACCATTAACCATTTCTTCTTGCCTTTAAGAGCTTTCTTCTTTGGTATATCCTTCAGAAGCTTAGGACATTCATTCTTTTAGTGTCCTGGCTCGTTGCATTCATAACAAATGACTTTGTTGCCACTAGACTTCCTTTGAACATAAGTTGATTCGAAGCGACCTCCAGCCCTTCTTGAACTTCTGAACCCGTTGCCTTGATTTCTCTTCCAAAGACGGTTAACCCTTCTGGTTAACAGAGACAACTCATCTTCTTTATCATCAGAATCTCCTTCCGAATCCTCAATCTCTTATGCTTTAAGAGCTTTAGACTTCTCATATTTCCTGACAGACATGAGCACAATTAGATTTTACATTTCTTCGAGGTTTATCTTGTTCTAGCTCAATCTCATGGCTTCTTAAAGAACTTATCAGTTCTTCTAGAGAAGTATTGTTTAGATCCTTTGCAAGCTAGAATGTAGTTACCATAGGCCTCCATTTGGATGACAATCTTTTGATATTTTTCTTCACGTGATCTACCGTTGAATAGCCTTTGTTTAGAACTCTCTGTCCTGCAACTAAGATTTGAAATCTTGAGAACATGAATTCAACGCTTTTGTCATTTTCCATCTTGAAAGCTTCATACTTCTGAATCAAGGCCATCACCTTGGTTTCTTTAACTTGATCATTTCCTTCATGAGTCATTTTAAGAGAGTCAAATATAGACTTAGTAGAGTCTCTATTTGTGACCTTCTCATACTCACTATAAGTAATGCATTCAGTAAGATGATTCTTGCTATATGATGATTCTTGTAATCTTTCTTTTGTTAATCAGTCATAGCTCTCCTAGCTATTTCTTTTCTAGTAGCATATGTGGGAGGTACATAGCCATCAACTACTATATCCCAAAGATCAACATCATGAACTAAAAAGAAACTTTCTAGTCTATCTTTCTAGTATTCAAACTTTTCTCCATCAAAGATGAGAGGTTTAACATTGTAACTTTTCTCGTTTAAATCTGATGCAACAACAATTGGTGTGGGTTCAACCATTGTGTTTCTTCAAAGAAAAACCCGTCTAGATATTTATCTGACATGGTTAAATGTTTGATAACTATCAATACTAGAACCGGAGCTCTGATACCAATTAAAGGTGTGAGAAACACAAGAAAGTGAGATTTGAATTGGGTTTCACCAAATTAAATCTTTTTGTTGGTGACAGACCAAGTTAATTTATAACATAAAAATAATTTACACAATTATTTTTATCCTGGTTTGCTGTTAACTAAGCTACTCCAGTCCACCCCCTCAAGGATGATTTCGTCTTCAACAAGAACATAATCCACTATAACCAAACAGATTACAGATAATCCACAATAAGTCAGATCAAACTTATTGGCACCCTAAATAAGTCTGTCGATCCTTATTACAAGTCCACTCAAACCGCAACAAGAGTCTTCTTGAGATCTGATCATTACTTGGTCTCCCAAGGAATCAACAACAGTTGAATACTTTCAGTGTAATACATATTTCTTATTTTTAAGTATATTACATAGACGTTTGAGTATATAGAAGAACACCTAAGTGTTCTGCAGCAAGATACAAGCAACAACTACTTGCTTATTTACAAAACTATACACGGAATATTTCTCTACAGAGTTTGCATGATGCTTTGGTGTAGTTTTGTTGAGCTTGATTTGATATGATATATTTGTCATTGTAATGTTGATTCTTACACTTCTTCAACTTCCAAGTCTTTCCTTTATAGCTTGTAAAAGAGATTCATTGAAAGGATAGAAAGGTGATCATAAATCTAGCTGTTGGTTCTCAATGGTCATAATAAGACTGGTTACAATAAGTACGAAAGGACTGTCCTTGTGCCACTTTAGAAGAGTATATGTCACAGACAATTTATGTACCTTTTGTACACCATCACACATTAACCATTTTGAACTTCTTCTTATCTTCAAAGGCTTCAAATGTTTTGAATGTTGAAGCTTGTTGTAGAATATTTTCTATTAAGTCTTAGAACCTAAGTCTTGGAGTCTTCAGAACTTGTCCTATCAGAACCTTGTCTTCAGAGTCTTCATCACTTGGTTGTAAGAACTTGCTTTTCTTCTGATCATCAGAACATGTTCAGCAGAACCTTGTCTTCATAATCTTCAGAACTTGTAACACACAGAAGTAAAACTTTAGAAGGCCTCTAAAGCTTAACCATAAAGTCACAATCAGAACCTCTTGTAGTAACATTCCTAAGACACGTTGCATAATACGTATTCAGAATATTGACTTCAACTGTAACATGTAACCACATGTTTTCTTCCAAAGTGTTTATGCTTAGAACCTGATGATGTCACTTGCCTTGTACCAGAGTCAGAACATTATAGCAGTAGCTACACACTATAACAAACCATTAGAGTATACAATTGTTCTCTATGATATCATGTAATGTTATCATCAACATCCTAAGGCCAAATGTAGAAACACTTCTTGTTCTTACACTTTATTCTTCTTGTTAGTGACCATACATCCATATTCTGTTAAGTGAACTCTGAGACCTTGATCACATAACTGATTGATGTTGATTAGGTTGACAGTCAGACCTTTTACGAACAAAAATTTATCAAGTTTAGGACATCCTTCACAAGCTAGTCTTCCAATACCTTTAATGATCCCCTTAGCACCATCTCCAAAGGTGATATATCTAGTTGTATAAGGTTTAACATATATTAATAGGTTCTACAAACCTGTCATATGCCTAGAAAATCCACTGTCAAAATACCAGTTTTCACTAGATGAGACTTTTAGATAAGTATGCACAATGAGATTCTTGACAACATCTTTAACTTTCCATTCCTTCCTATTTTTGATCACAGACGGATTTATACTGATTTGAGATAAATTTTTGTGATATACACGAAGCCTATCATGAACTTGTTCTATGTGACCATATCTTCCATAAATATGACCTCTCAATGGTTGTATCTGGTCTTTTGTCTGAGCTTCCCGTG